GCTGCATTTCGGGTGCTAATGGGGAGTTGGTATCAGTGTTCCATTTGGGGTAGCTTGGTTCCTCGAGTGGTTGTGTTGAAGGAGACTGGGTGAATTGTTCGTGGAAGTGCTCAGTCCACCGCTCAATACGGCGATTGTGGGAGTGAATTGCTTTTCCGTCTTTTTCACATACTGTTCCACTGACGCCTGCCTTCTTTTGACCTGTTGATCGTATCACTTGAAACAGGGCGCGACTGTTGCCTGCAGCAGAAGCCTTCCCCACCTCCTGGGCCTTCGAAATCCATAAACGTTTTCTGTCATTCTTTAAGCTTCTGATTATCCGGTGTTTGAAGTATCTGCGTGCGCCATCATAGTCAATAGTTGCTGGTAAAGCCTTTCTGACAGCAGTAAGGTTTGCTGATCTCATAGGTATCTAGTGTTCAGTAAGTCGGGTCAGATGGGCTTGACAAACAGTTCTGAAAACTGAGAGCATTGCTTCTTTAACTCGCCTCCATTCGATCTCCAAGTAATCTTGTTCGTCCACATGACTGTGCGTTTCCACTAGCTGTCTAGCCAGATTAACTCGATACTCTTCAGCTACTGAAGCTTGTCGAAGTTGAATGGTGCTGCTCTCTTTCGGCACGCGCAGTGCTGGCGGAAAGCGAAGTGCTCGATGGTGTGATCAGAGTCAAGTTGGGTACCCCAGAAGGAACAACAATCCTTAACTGTGGCTCTCCATCGGTAACTGATAGCCTATGATCCAATTGAGTCCACCACTGTTTTGTTGTAGGTGGCCTCCAAGTAACTGGGTGTGGGCATTTGTGTTGGAATTTCGTACTGGCCAGGAACAGACGATGATCTGCACACAACTGAAGAAGCCGCTCTCCATTATACATACGTCCAGCATCGACTACAAATCTACCACCCAACTTTGTTTCCCTCGGACTTAGTAGTCCAAACTGAGCATTAATGTCACCCATCAGGATTATCTGTCGTTCTGGCTGACCGCAGCAGTCGTGACAGATCTTGATAGAACTAGTCCTTTTCAGTCCCAGAACTGCTATCTGTTGGGACGTATGCTGATACGACAAACAAACATCGTTGGTCGTATCGACCTGCGTTAATCTTGATTGAGCCCGACAGCTGCACAGCACAAAGGCGACTATTTTCTGGGATCCAATCCACTGCAACTCCCACACCGTAGATACCACGAGCCATTGCGTCAGGATCACCAGATACCTGAGGAGTGAAATATGAAACATCTTAGCTCTTTCTAAATGACATGAGGGGGTGGGGTTTCGAATGCGTGTTTCGTAGACACAACATATCGATAGAGATGGAAATCAAGGTTTCAGCAAGGGATGCCTGTCGACCAATTTGACATAGACTACGGACATTAAAGATCTTATGTATTTAGTAAATGATTATTTTGGTTCATTTTTCTGGGCGAAGGTTTAAAGACGGAATAATGGCTATTGCACTGCATTGTACAATGGATTGGGCGTGATTGTGGGAGAAGGCCGGTGAGCGAAGAGCTGCAAGGGCAACTAATACTTCTCAGTTGCCCAGGTTTAGTTAAGGTACCCCACCTCTAGCCTTTGACTCAAAAGTCTGACCCACAAGGCAGTGAGAGGATGTAAGCTTTTGGTCGGGGACTGACTTAAGAGTCGGAACCGCGAAACAGCGGTTGTTAGGGTTTTCTTGGGGACCCTTTCCGAATCCGATGACTCAATGGTCTGACCCACTTGATTGTTGGGGACCGGCCTGGCCCGAAGGAGCAGGATGTAGGGCATTACTGTTTCACTGTTAGCGCAGCTGTGCACAGCACGTGCCTTTTGAGCAGCACCGGACTCTTGTTTTAAAAGTAATTCGACCGTATTGAATAATACACCGGCGATCACGGTCAACCGTTGAGCGATCGGAGTCTGCGGTTTCTGGGGCCGACGTTTTCTAACCCATTCTTCCTCGTGCGAAGGCAGTATCTCTGCTTACATAAGCATGGATATGCTGGTCGCCTGGGGGAAACGCCTTAATGCCTTCACACTCCTACCGCAGAGGACAGTACGACTTTACCTCCAGACTGCCTCGTAATATGATTACCCTCATTACGGGGACTCGCTGTTCTTCGTCAGGCTGCTCCTCATTGACCTTCCTGGCATGACTGAACCTTTAGGAGCTGAGTTCGAGCAAGTATAACCCGCAGGACCATTGCAGCACTGAAGCCCGACCACCACGACAAGGTGACAGCTTCGGGCCGAGAGTTGTCGGACAATGGTGCTACCATAGCTCCTTTCCATGTTGCTGTGCTCCCTCCATGTGCTCGTTACGCAACAGTAATAATAATAATTATTATCGTTATTAGTTCCGTTGTGGGATTTGCTGTATATGTGTTGCTCATATCACAGTCGTTTGAACAGTCGTCCTTCTGTTCTGGCGCAATTCTGGTGAGTCCTTACCAAAGGGGGAAGCACTGGATTCGAGTTTCACTCTTATTAGAGCTCATCAGCAGTGCATGTCCAATGGCCTTACCGGGTTTTGAACTCCGGATATCTGACATGTGAGGCAAGCGCGTTACCACCACTCCACTAACGTACGTTGGATGCATCTGAATTTTCACGTCTGACCAGGCGAACGTGCTCACGCTCGAGCGAGTTATTACTATAATTATTGTCATTATTATTATTGATAAATAATAATACTTCATCTGTAACACCCTTTTGGTGCCTAACTGCCTGCCATCCGAAAGGTTGCACGAGGGCTGCGATACTGCTAGGTTGCCCAAGCTTAGACAAGGGAAGTCGAGAGACAGAGGTTGGGTTCGAACCACGGACCTTCCAGTCATTAAATTCACGCTGTAACCACTTAAGCCATCTCTCCCCAATTATTATTACTATTATTATTATTATTATATAACAATCGTTCAGCTGTGACTCTTTAGGTGCCAGAAGAAGCACTAGAGTTGATATACTGCTAGGTTTCCTAGGCCTAAATAAGAGCAGTCGACGTGCAGAGGTTGGGTTCGAATCTTCTGGTCAGTATGTTCGCGCCTCAACTACTGAGGTATCCCGTGCTCTTTATCAGTATTGATTTGGTGAGTAGTTGACTTCAAATCAGTACTACTGGACTATAGGTTGGAGGGGACCCAAGAGCGGTCAGCCCGAAGCATGGAGCATGAAGACCCTCACCAGTCAACTCAACCGTGTTAGTAAATGGATGGGTATTACAAACTACTACCAGTAGTCACTGACCCTGGCAGATATGACAGTGTCACGTAGCCAATTGTCGTCTTGTTCCCAAGTCACCCCCTTCACTGTGTAGCTATCAATTCTTGCCACACGGGACCGACAGACCTATCTGTTGTCAGTGCACAGGTTGGACCATAACCTTCAAAACATAGCTCTCATTTCTTTATTCTTCTTATCCTCGGTAAGTGAAGCTGTAGCAGCTGGGACCGCGGTACTTCGGTGCACGGTTTGTGAGCTAAAAAACTGACTGACTTCTGGTCTGTGGGGGTTCTCTGCCGATGGTGAATTGGTATCTTTCATGATGACTTGCGAGAACACGAAGGAAATCGTCATCCTTATCGGCACTGACAACAACACTGAATGTCAAGGAAGGAAAGGAGTGTTAGATGTGCTCCATTGTTGCGTCATTATGTGACCCAGAACTAACGACAGTCTTGAACTGAGGCCCTCCACTGGTGGTTAACAGCCAGGCGATCCATTTAGGCCCATGGTTGACTGCACCGAATGGCCACCGTGCTGCACAATGCCAGCGTTTATTCTTGACATCCGTGCTAGCCGGAAACGGTTGATTGTCAGCACACAATAGGAGGAGTCGCTGTCCATTGTCTGCTTCACGAGCATCGACTCCGAATCGACCATCCAAACGTAACTCCAAAGATGTCAGGTGACCGACTTGTGTATTAACACCGCCTGCAAGGTTCGAAGTGTCAGTGTTTCCTGCTTGAATGAATCAAATGAGTCTCGATGGAAAATATCTCCGGCGTCAGAACAACAATCCTTTGGAACACACGCTAACTACAAACAGTTTCTGATTTTCATGTGGAGTGACGCTGAACTTGATTGAGCTGGACAACCAGACAGCGCAAACACGACCGGTCGTTGAAATCCAATCTAGCGAAGCGCGTTCAGCTCCGGGATTGAGTGCAGCTCCTACGCCATACATTCCGTCAGTCATCGCTTCTGAGTCACCAAACACAGGACGAAGCGGGTTCGCCCTGGGCGTTTTAAGATTCATGAGCACACTTGACATGGAATGCAGACGTTCAAAGCTTTTATGTGGAAAGGGTATCGTGGGTTTAGTAAAGTCGTATGTGGTTTATTGTTGGAAGCGGGATGGATAAGGCACATCCATCAGATGACTGGCGGTTTCAGCCACGTAGTAGCTCCCGAAATCCTCTTTAAGCGAAGAAACCAATACATGGACAACTGTCTTTTCGCTTTTCGTTCGAATAACCCACCCAAAACATAACTCTGGACAGACCGTCTGGAGACTATGGTTACGCGTGCAGCGCAAGAATGCGTTTTGTAAACATCGCTGGATTGCCGATCCTAACGAACGGTGTCTTCCTCTTTAAACAGCCCTTTTAAAGTTGAGGCTTGCAGCCACTTCGTATTCACTTGTGTTCCATCGACCATTGGTCGTTCATATACTGAATCTATCTGGCCATATGCGCTGAAAGCAAGGTTGGACAAATTGATTACAATTCTAGAATGGATTATATCTTGTTTCATCTTTGATGTTCGGTGTTCCGATTTAGCTCACCCTGTTTGTTGAATTTTCTTCGAAATCACTTAGTAAGATGCAGATTTAACCTTTCATCTCTGTACAACCGACAATCTCATGTTCGCTTTGATATGTTAGGTCCGTGAAAGTAGTAGTTACAATGGGATGCTGTCGTGAAGCACCATACTGAGTTTGGTTTGTGAATTTGTTACTGTTACTTATTAAGCCATCGAACATGATCGAACCTACAGTTTCTGTATTTTGTGTCCTAGGAACCACCGCGTGCTCCAAGAAAAAGCCAGTCATGTCACCCGCTTTATTGCCCTTGCTGATGTGAAAAATCCTCTGAACCGGAAGGTAACTCTTCTAGATCTCCACACTTAAAAGTGCTAAATCAGTATCTTTATGCCTTGAAGTTGGTGCCGATAGACAAAATGTCTCGACAAGATCTAACGCAACAACCTCCGGATGTAACTGAAAACCCCTACTTGGGACTGGTCGATGAACCTGATAATTCGCAGGGCAAAGAGACGGTAAGTAGTATGGTACTTGGTAGTCCGAGCATGTATTGTTTTTTTGATTTCTCAGCCTTATGCTTTACTTTAAAGTAAGTTGGCCGGAAACACTGAATTTCCATACCCCCATTGGTTTCCCCCACTACCGACTATACGGCCAATCGGTTTTAGCACAACGAAAACCCTCTTTAAGGGGAGAGCCCAGATATCCTCAAATGTTGGGTATCCTTTCAAATACTAGAGACTATTTATTATAAGTTTACTTCACAGGATCGGAGACAAACATACGATTGGCGCTTCAATAATTTCCTGGATAATTGACCATAAGTATCTTATGAAAAATTTGTACTGCTGATACCTAAACTACTTCACACGTCCATTTGGTTCTATATCCATTCTGTATCGGCATGCACTGAGTATACAGTGGCCTTCTCAATAGAAGTCACCCACAGGAGATTGTTAGAGTAAACCCTTCTGAACAAGGTTGCAAAAGTCTACCAAATTCGTAGTCGCGCATGCCGGTGGACTGATAAATAGTGATTCAGCTCTGACACCCCTTCGCTGCATAGCTGCCGGGCAACTTGATGGGACCGCGAGATACTGAGATACTGTCCGGTTTCTAAGACCCAGACAGGAGCGATCGAAAAGCCATAGTTGTATTCAAATCGCGTGCCTTCCGGTGAGTAGCTTCGCGCCTTCATCGCCGAGCTGTTCGGACGTCTACACTATCAGGATTTCAAACTGAACAAATTCTGCATTTTCTTCTCCTTGGTATTTCTGATTAGCTATGTTATCAGAGTAGTCGAGTCGTAAATCGGTCCCTGACTGCCATGCCACCAGAAGGAAGCACGAGGGCTGAGATACTGCCAGGTTGTCCAAGCCTAGACAGGAGAAGTCGAGAGACAGGTTGGTTTCGGATCACGGACCTTCCGGTCAGTAAGCTTGTGCTCTCACCACTGAGTCATCTCGAGTTGTGCCCATCATTTGGATGGAACTTACTTGTTTATTTGGAACACAGTCACTGGCTGTTGATCCACTGTCTTGCACGACTTGCAGCCACTCCGAGCAGAACTATCACCCCTGCATCTATTGATGCGATTTCAGGGTGCATTCGAAGTATGCATATCATTGTGCGGTTAGATGATGTATAGTTACCGGAATGCTGTTACCATCGTTTCAGTTTTTCCCGCCAACTAAGTTTCCCTTATGGAGAAGCTGGCACTGGGATGATTTCCTGAGGCAATGCTCTAGGTTGCCAGGAATTGACTAGTGGAGACAGCCTTACATCCTTTTTGTATGTTCACCCCAGGGGCCTGGGCCAAGTACGTCTGAATTACTAGCCACTCAGGCGATAAATTTAGCTCAACAACTCTTTAACGAGTTCCTGACGCTAACTAGGAAAACCAGACTAACCACCATTGTCCTCATACCAGATTTTATAACTCACCACAATACCATCTCACAGCGCAACGCCTAAAATTTAATTTGCCGTGCCGAGCAGTGTTCCTGTCTCCGATTTATAAAGCACATTTTGAGGACTGGCGTGACCGAAATTGTGTAAATTTAGTCCTTTTCGGGGATGAGGGTGTTCCTTTCGTATTTTACCCCCCAGTGCAACAGCAGGGTTCACCGGACCGGGATGAGGTATTCTTTTCGGGGAGCAGCAAGCTCTTGTCCGTAAGAAACAAATTAGGAGGGCTCTCCAGTTGCATACGTGGGTCACTTAATTAACTATTGAAGGTGGCGTCTCATCCTCCACCCGGGATCGTCGGTGTTGACTTTTTGGCTATCTCTGCACCACGTACGGTCCTCCATAATGCACAATCGCAAATACTACCCGCCGTAGGAACGTCGTCGACTTCCGAAGATCCCCATGTACATGTGCCCAGTATTTTGGCTTGACGGCATTAGAAATGAACTTGTTTTGTCCATATTCTTCCCATCATAATATGTAACCCCCCTTTTTAAACAGGCTTTTCCAGATCACTCCCCGAAGGATGCAATTTAGTGTGTGATCTCATCGAAAAAATCCCCTAGGAACTTCATCACGCCATCCTAAATATATTTACAACATAACCACATGCATGGGCCGCTGTTGATTTTCCAAAAGGACTATAAATTCGCAAGTGAACTATTCGACATATTACCGATGATCTGTTTCTACATTTCGGCCATTCTAGCATTAGCTCCAGTGATCTCGAAATATAGACACCAGATCCTGCGTTAGAAATATTCGAGAAATAGTATTTGACGGGTTTACCGCTCGATAAACTCGCCAATAAAGTGCCGGCATAGAAAAATTGTGTACAAAGTCACAATACCCCGCCAAACATCTGGACGATCCAACTACGCGACGTGAGAACCATATAACCGTCTGTTTTGTCGGATGCAGCGGATAAGACGTTCATCATCGTCAACAGCATAACATCAGTGTTCAACATTGATGCTTTGCTGCAGTACAACTGTGATTTATTTGGAAGTCTTATTTTAAGAGAAGAATAAAGGTAGATAGTGAAGGGAGTTAGTGCAAGCTTACGATAATCATTCTGAATTGCCTATGTCTCCAGACACTCATTCAGTCAGCCTGGATAGAAACGGACAAGAACGCCATTGACATTGATTAACAGCCATATCTTGCAGTGTCTCCAACCAGACGCATTGGGGATCACGCGGTCCCCATCCTGAAAGGTAAGCACTACCGACAGCACCCAAACGTTTCGTAGTCCCTTTTGTGCCCCTCCGCTTCTGTCACACCGAATTGGTCACGGAAAACAGCGCTCTTTGGCAAATGATGGTTCAGCATACGCAATACAACGCAGCTTCTGGTGCTGAACACATTGTTCGTTGAAAATCCCCGTTGCACAACCGAAAACTCGAAAATATAGAATTTTATAACTTCAGCTCCTGGAGATCACCGTGACACAGAACCTCAACAAAAACTATTTTCCACTGACAGCATGCCATGCACATCAGTGTCATCAGCTGTCAAACGCCCAAAATAACTTGTAGACTTAACGCAGCCTTAGACAGCCTCGATACTAGACTTGTCTTTTACGTGGGCACAGAGTCTACAGACGAGCGATGATATTTCCAGTGAGTTCGCGCACGACTTTGAAACGTATCATGCTTCCAGTTAAAGCTTATAAGATGGTAACTTCCTGACGGAGTTGGACTAGTGTCGATCATGGTAACAGCGTCTATGGGCGATAAAGATTGTTTTTATGGGTGTGTGTATTTTTTATATCCTAGCTGTTATAAATATCAGCTACAATATTAATGCACTGGCTTCTGTGCTGTTATTGGTGGAATTTGAGGTACATGCAATCATACTCCGCAGAGTACGTTTCCCTCTTAAGAGAGATCGCCCTCAACTAATATCAACTGAACTGTTCCCCCTGAATGGCCTCTGTTCCTGAATCCCTTCTGCTGAGAATTTTTTCTCAAACGAGAGATAAGCTGGCGAGGCCGACCATAGGTTTTCTCCTCAGAGCGATTTACGCAGACCAGCTAGTCTCTGTATGATATCGGTTGAGATTCCGTCAGTCTATCACAGCACATTTTCGTCGATTTTCCACACCCATACAGTTTGTTTACTCTTGATTCGTTGTGGACAATCCCCCCAGCCGGCTTCTTCTCCATGAATTTCTTCAATCCCAGTTAGGTCTTTTGCTATCCGGTTGAAGCAGTCGTCCGAGTATACAGCGAGGAAACCACCTAATTGGATGGTCATTGGTCACGAAGAGACTGGACCTTACCGTGGTGTGACGGTTTGCGCACCTCAGCGATCCATTGAGCTATACTAGAGGGTGTCCCGCGACACTCACAGAGTCTCTCATACCAGATGGGTCAATGGTTAGAGGTCTGACGAACACAGTCTCCTGGCCCTCCAG